CATCTACTTCCGGCTAATGGGTCCCCGGAAGAACGAAAAAATTTATGCAAGTCTATGGGGCTAAAAACTCTATTTTCTAATCCGCTTTGCCTTAGGCCCTAGATCACACATATGTTGTACTGCAATTTTAAATTAAAACTAATGATGGGTGTTTTGACCATGCCTGCCACGTACTGTGGGATTTATCAGTTTGTAAAAGTTCATAATTAGCATGACTACAAATCCGACATCGGCATGTTGCATATATGACGTCACCACATAATCTTTTCTCCTGTAGCGTAGCTGGTACTTACCAAATGGCCAGATTTATTGTGCTTTTCTCCACCTGAAGGAAGAATTTGAAGTTCACTGAACCTACAGCAATTTCCCTCCGTATTTCTCTGTCATTGTCGATGACGTCATTTTCGTGACACGCATCTGTAGTTCGGGGCTTATTTTCACACAAATCCTAAAATAACGTTTCCCCCGTTAAAAAAAAAGTGCATTCTTGGTATCAAAATATGTCTTTAAAACTCACGGACAGCATATGTGAAATCCATGGCACACAACAAGCGGAATTAGAAAATAGCGTTTTTAGCCCCAGTGACTTGCATTCATTTTTTTCGTTCTTCCTTGGACTGCCAGACTGCTCCAAACTGCTCCAAAATGGACCATATTTGTCTACTTTTTTAGTGCGTTGTTTGTGCTGATTTATGCAGGTAAAATTATTGTTGGTGCTGCAACTGTTTCTGAGATATTACACGTTTCCAAAATCAAAAAATGGCAATAATTTTAGTGGACATAAATTACATACATTATATTAAGTACAGATTCACAAATCTAATCTTTTTTTTGCAGCTATACATTTAATTTTGTTGTGGCTTAGGAATAGTGACTCTAAAATTGTAAAAATGAGTGAAACATGACTTTGGTAATGAGATCAACACAATTAATATGGCAAATTTATTGAAAGAAAGATATAACCTTCAAGTTTATAGAGGTGAAGCTGACTGAGTTTGAAAAGCAAATATACTTTAGACCAGTGTTTTTCAACCCTGGTCCTCAAAGCACACTGTCCAGGGAGTTTTCAGGTTTTCCCTGCTTCAGCATGCCTGATTTGAATTGTTGGTTGATTTACAAGCTTTTGCTGAACTGCAGTCAACTGAATGACGCGTGTTAAGGCAGGGAGAATACAAAAACATGCAGGGCAGTGTGCCTTGAGGACCAGGGTTGAAAAACACTGCTTTAGACTAACAAAGAAAAGAGCACAAAAGTGACTTGATTTGATGATGCAGTATCATCTATAAGATGTATGGGGAGGCTAAGTCACGCCCATCTACTTCCGGCTGATGGGCCCCCGGAAGAACGAAAAAATTTATGCAAGTCTATGGGGCTAAAAAGTCTATTTTCAAATCCGCTTTGCCTTAGGCCCTGGATCACACATATGTTGTACTGCAATTTTAAATTAAAAATAATGATGGGTGTTTTGACCATGCCTGCCACGTACTTTGAGATTTATCAGTTTGTAAAAGTTCATAATTAGCATGACTACAAATCCGACATCGGCATGTTGCATATATGACGTCACCACATAATCTTTTCTCCTGTAGCGTAGCTGGTACTTACCAAATGGCCAGATTTATTGTGCTTTTCTCCGCCTGAAGGAAGGATTTGAAGTTCGCTGAACCTACAGCAATTTCCCTCCGTATTTCTCTGTCATTGTCGATGACGTCATTTTCGTGACACGCATCTGTAGTTCGGGGCTTATTTTCACACAAATCCTAAAATAACGTTTCCCCCGTTAAAAAAAAAGTGCATTCTTGGTATCAAAATATGTCTTTAAAACTCACGGACAGCATATGTGAAATCCATGGCACACAACAAGCGGAATTAGAAAATAGCGTTTGTAGCCCCAATGACTTGCATTCATTTTTTTCGTTCTTCCTTGGACTGCCGGACTGCTCCAAACTGCTCCAAAATGGACCATATTTGTCTACTTTTTTAGTGCGTTGTTTGTGCTGATTTATGCAGGTAAAATTATTGTTGGTGCTGCAACTGTTTCTGAGATATTACACGTTTCCAAAATCAAAAAATGGCAATAATTTTAGTGGACATAAATTACATACATTATATTTAGTACAGATTCACAAATCTAATCTTTTTTTTGCAGCTATACATTTAATTTTGTTGTGGCTTAGGAATAGTGACTCTAAAATTGTAAAGTTGAGTGAAACATGACTTTGGTAATGAGATCAACACAATTAATATGGCAAATTTATTGAAAGAAAAATATAACCTTCAAGTTTATAGAGGTGAAGCTGACTGAGTTTGAAAAGCAAATATACGTTAGACCAGTGTTTTTCAACCCTGGTCCTCAAAGCACACTGTCCAGGGAGTTTTCAGGTTTTCAGCACGCCTGATTTGAATTGATGGTTGATTTACAAGCTTTTGCTGAACTGCAGTCAGCTGAATGAGGCATGTTAAAGCAGGGAGAATACAAAAACATGCAGGGCAGTGTGCCATGAGGACCAGGGTTGAAAAACACTGCTTTAGACTGACAAAGAAAAGAGCACAAAAGTGACTTGATTTGATGATGCAGTATCATCTATAAGATGTATTGGAAGGCTAAGTCACGCCCATCTACTTCCGGCTAATGGGTCCCCGGAAGAACGAAAAAATGTATGCAAGTCTATGGGGCTAAAAACTCTATTTTCAAATCCGCTTTGCCTTAGGCCCTGGATCACACATATGTTGTACTGCAATTTTAAATTAAAACTAATGATGGGTGTTTTGACCATGCCTGCCACGTACTTTGAGATTTATCAGTTTGTAAAAGTTCATAATTAGCATGACTACAAATCCGACATCGGCATGTTGCATATATGACGTCACCACATAATCTTTTCTCCTGTAGCGTAGCTGGTACTTACCAAATGGCCAGATTTATTGTGCTTTTCTCCGCCTGAAGGAAGGATTTGAAGTTCGCTGAACCTACAGCAATTTCCCTCCGTATTTCTCTGTCATTGTCGATGACGTCATTTTCGTGACACGCATCTGTAGTTTGGGGCTTATTTTCACACAAATCCTAAAATAACGTTTCCCCCGTTAAAAAAAAAAGTGCATTCTTGGTATCAAAATATGTCTTTAAAACTCACGGACAGCATATGTGAAATCCATGGCTCACAACAAGCGGAATTAGAAAATAGCGTTTGTAGCCCCAATGACTTGCATTCATTTTTTTCGTTCTTCCTTGGACTGCCGGACTGCTCCAAAATGGACCATATTTGTCTACTTTTTTAGTGCGTTGTTTGTGCTGATTTATGCAGGTAAAATTATTGTTGGTGCTGCAACTGTTTCTGAGATATTACACGTTTCCAAAATCAAAGAATGGCAATAATTTTAGTGGACATAAATTACATACATTATATTTAGTACAGATTCACAAATCTAATCTTTTTTTTGCAGCTATACATTTAATTTTGTTGTGGCTTAGGAATAGTGACTCTAAAATTGTAAAGTTGAGTGAAACATGACTTTGGTAATGAGATCAACATAATTAATATGGCAAATTTATTGAAAGAAAAATATAACCTTCAAGTTCATAGAGGTGAAGCTGACTGAGTTTGAAAAGCAAATATACTTTAGACCAGTGTTTTTCAACCCTGGTCCTCAAAGCACACTGTCCAGGGAGTTTTCAGGTTGTCCCTGCTTCAGCACGCCTGATTTGAATTGATGGTTGATTTACAAGCTTTTGCTGAACTGCAGTCAGCTGAATGAGGCGTGTTAAGGCAGGGAGAATACAAAAACATGCAGGGCAGTGTGCCTTGAGGACCAGGGTTGAAAAACACTGCTTTAGACTGACAAAGAAAAGAACACAAAAGTGACTTGATTTGATGATGTCATCATGCAAAAATAAAACTCGTAATATCTCAGACACCGTTCCAGCACAAACGTCAATTTTACCTGCACAAATCAGCACAAACAAAGCACTTAAAAAGTAGACTAATATGGTCCATTTCGGAGCAGTTTGGAGCAGTCCGGGGGGACGGTGAACTCTGAATGACCTAAAAGTTTAATATCTCAGAAACCGTTTGCAGCACAAACGTCAATTTTACCTGCACAAATCAGCACAAATTAATCACTAAAAGGTAGACCGATATGGTCCATTTTGGAGCAGTTTGTAGCAGTCTGGGGGATGGTGAACTCTGAATGACCTATAAAATAAAGTTTAAAATCTCAGAAACCATAGCAGCACAAACGTCAATTTTACCTGCACAAATCAGTTTGACGGGGGTCAGCTTCACAGAACTAAAAGAAGTGAGCTGATTTTTGAACCCCTGCATTGTTAATGTGACCCACAGTGTGACCTCAAAATTAGTTGAGAAGGCAATGTTAATTAATGGGCTGTTTCTGCAGTATATTCTGGGAGGCCTTTTCACATATAAGTCATATATCAGAAAGCGAACATGGCTGCCTAGAAGGCAGGGTTATGACCATGAAGTGAGCTCATTTTTGAACCCCTGCGTTGCTCATGTGACCCACAACATGCCCTCAAAAATTTCTTATTTTACATAAATGTGGCCTTTTTTATGGAGATTTGATTAATGTTGATTTTTCATTTAACTGTGACTGCTGAAATTTTTAACACTGATGAACATTTACAGTATAAATGCATGAAAGTATCAGTCTACAGCTGCAGCCTTCTGGACAGCCCAAATCATTCTACAAATACAAATGTGGACTGCTCAAAATCACTTGAAGGCCACTAATGTTATGCACTTTTGACCATCCTGATCTAAAAGTTAAAATTACATAAAAAATACACAAATTAAAAAACATACAAAGAGAGACAGTTGTATAAATTAATATTGAATTAATATTTATTATGATTAGTTTGAGTGGCTTTGAACTTCACTCATCCTGAGTCAGCAGCCCTGCTGCTCCATTGTGGCACTTTTCTCTGTGTTCTCAGTAAAGGCTGACTTACTCTTTTGCCTAACTGCCCATCCCCCACCTGATAGCTGCAGACGAAGTGGGCCCATAAACTAGTCATCCAATCAGAGTCATGCTACCTGTTCCTCCGTGCTGAGTTCAGTTGTGCCCAGCAGCACAGAAAGGGAGCCATTTTCATGGAGGAGGAAAGCTCACCAGAAGAGACAGGAGGGGAGATGTACAAAAGAAAAGGTAAGATGTGTAATGTTTTGTGCTTTTGTACAATTAGGTAGCCCAGACAGCAGAGTTCTGCACTCCATGTGAATTTTGTCTAGGTCAAGCTTGAAGCTGTAAAATGAAGTATGGAAAGCTCACTGCAAGGCAAGTTTGTGCGACTTTTGTCCACTAAACACTTATAAAAGCTGTAAAACGTTATGGATTATTTATGCCTACATGTCAGAAGCAAAGAAAGTACAGATTTTTTTTATTTATTTAATGGTACTGTGTAGTTAGTGCAGTTTACAAAATGGTGGCTAAAATGAAACCTAATGATTGAAAGTTGGGTACAAGGCTGAAGTTGGTTCACATTGTTTTGTGATGTGGTTTTATTTTTTTTAAAACAATTTTTCTCTTTTACATTTTTAGGTAAAATCAAAATATCACAAATGACGGATGAATACAAAGAAGATCAACAATTTTCAGGTAATCATTACCATTTGTGTATTTTCAACTAATGTGGTTCTAGTGCTTAATCAGGCTGGTTCTTAAATAGTTTCAAATAATGATTTTAAAAAGTCCATCAACAACTATTGGCAATTTTTGCCATTTTCTTATTGTCCTATAACCTACTTTTACTCTGTAAATATACATAAGAATAGCCTTTTTTACTGAAATTTTGTCTGAACATAATTTAATAATATTGTTAACTTTATTGGTTTTCAAAATGCATTGCACAAGGTGCATTGCTACATTACTTCACTATGAATGTTAATACAGTAAATATTTATTATTCAATCATCCATCCATTATCGTCCATTTATCCGGGTTCACGTTGCAGGTGCATTAACCTAAGAGAGGTCCAGACTTCCCTCACCACAGCCACTTAGGCCAACTCCTACAGGGGAATCCTAAGGTGTTCCCTGTCCAGCTGAGAAACATAGTCCCTCTAGCACAGGGATTCCCAAAGTGTGGTGTGCGCACCCCTGGGGGTGCGCGAGCTGCCGCTAGTGGGTGCGCGAGGTGAAAAGTGTAATGGCTGCGGAACTCAGAGAAGTCTGTCATATGTCACCATTAGCGTAGAAACTCATTTGTGGGTGGGCCAAAGAAAAAGTAAGTGGGCCCAATAAATGTAATTGAAAACAAGTATATTTTTGCACGCGCAAGTGTCCTCCACATGTGCCCTAACTTCATAATAATAATGCGCCGAGCTTCAGCACTCTGGCCTGCGCACACGGATATGTTCCGTATTTGATCATTTTTAACGGTGTTGGAGGAATCTGAAGGTGGTGAGTCATTCTGGCAGATTGTAATTAACACCTGTCTCATGCAGGTGTTCTGACATTGTAAACCTCACACACAGAACATTGTGGATGTAACAAAATAACAAGAAATGATTCCCATTCAGGCCATTAACAGCGCGCTGAAGATCTGAAGTTCAGAGTGCGTCTGTCAGAGGTCAGACGCGTTCCGGCTGAACCACGGCTCACGGGTATACAAGTGAGCACATCTGGGCTGGGCAGAAGGAATTTTACAACATTGGTTTAAATAGCGCGAGACGCGGTGACTTGAGCGGCTGTGCCGCGCACGCACACACACACAGATTCAATAAGCGCACACGCTGCTTTAACTCCGGCGCGCCGTCAGACTGAAGGCAGAAATGAACGCTGCCTCCACCGTGATAACAACTTTTAAGAGGTTATTTTTCATTCAAGGTCAAATTAAGATATTAGCTTCTGGGATGAGTCGGGTCCGCTCCAGCCAGTGACTCCTCATGAACCTGACCACATCTCATGTTACTGCAGCATTTGTTAATCCAGTCCGCATGACAGCGGATCGCAGATTCAGCCACACCATAAAACAGCAATAAGTCGGTCTGAGGCAAAAGTGAACATCATGGCTATATCTTGTCCCCTATTGACATTTGATTACGCACAAGTAGGTGACCAGTTCAGGTTTACGCAGAGCAGAAGGAAGGAGAGCGCTCTGGCCGCACAGGTTAAACGTTCCTACTTTAAGAAAACTGTTAAATTGCATTTTTTATGTGCTACCTGGGCACTCTAAATATTTATTTAAAATTAAATCAAAGGAAATTGTAATGGTATCGAATGTTTATTAATTACTATTTAAAAAATGAAAGTGATGGTGAATTTTTTTAACCCTCTCTGTTTAGCTTGACATCTGATATATATATATAGAGAGAGAGCCATGCCCCGATGTGGGGGCTGGGGGGGGGGGGGGTGCGTCGAGATGGTCGGGACATAGAAGGGGGTGCGCGGCTAAATAAGTTTGGGAACCACTGCTCTAGCATATCCTGGGTTTACATGTGCGTCTCCTCCCAGTTGAACGTGTCTGAAATGCATCACCAGTAAGGTATCCAGGAGGCATCCTAACCAGATGCCTGAGCCACCTCAACTGGATCCCCTTGATGCGTATAAGCAACACATGTACTTTGAGCTTCTCCCAGACGACAGAGCTTATTATTGGCATTTTCACGTCTGGTCTTGTCTATGTAGTGTCAGTTCGAGCCTGCAGGGTTAGGTTTTGTTCACACAGCCTTCTCAGTAATGCAGAAATACCTAAGCATGTGGGCGGGGGCAAAAGACACCTCCTTAAAGTTACTAATCAAAGGCGGGTGTAAGCCGTGGTGCTTTTGCAGTATCTGACCCTGAGCCACATATGACCCACATTGCAACGTCTACCCTTCTCAGTGAGATTGCTGTGTGTGCTCAGTCTGTCCTCACGCTGCCGCAACTGGAGCTTAAAGCTGCTTTCACATCAGGGCTGGTTCTCATCCGCCCAGGTGTTTTCTTTTCCACACTCAGTCGTTTTTTTCCCAGCCTTCTTCAAAAGACTGTCTGCTTTGGGCTGAACTGACCCAACACAACCACTGCCAGCTGATTGGCCAGCTCCAATTCATGCCTAGCATTAGAGGTAGCCTCAGATTGGTGGATAGAGTCAGCCAGCGGGGGCTTCCCGCAAGTGCGATTCATTATAATTCTAACAATTAAATAAAATCTATCTTTAATTAATATTTGTTTTGTTTATTCTGTCATAAATTTTAACATGGCACAATCAAAGCACTTCACCAAGAGAGGTTTATGATTGATCAGTTGATGAAGCGTGATCATGGTGAACATGAGCACATAATTCTCTTTCCTAATGTCCGAAAGGATGGTGTGGAGTGCAGGCTGTGTGTTTAGCTAACCTGCAAGGAACATCAATATCAAAGTAATTATTAGGGTTGGGCATTGTTTGATTTAGAACGATTCCAATTCCAATTCCTTGTTTCGATTCCGGTACCCATCGATTCCCAATTCCGATTCTTTCAAGACATGGCATGTTTTAAATGAGCCAGCTAACCACAGGTCCTACTTGATGAAATAATCTTAATTTCAACATGATTTTTAATTCTATGAACAATATGGTGTGTGGGAGTTTTGCAACTTGTCGTTTTGCATCTTGGGAGTAGCATGGGAGTGAACTGTAAAGAAAACAACTAATTGGTTTGTTTTGTTTTTATAATGTTTCAAAATTCGGATTGTAATCGACATTAAAATTTGATTAATTGAGCAGCCCTATGAAAAAGAAACTTTTGTTTACAATTACAGAGGTCAGACATTTTCTGCAGTTCCTTGCCAGGTTAGCACACTCTGCAACAATGATTGTAGTCCTCTATACCAGTGGTTCCCAAACTTATTTAGCCGCGCACCCCCTTCTATGTCCCGACCATGTCGACGCACCCCCCCCCCCCCACCCCCCACCCCCACATCAGGGCATGGCTCTATATGTATATATATATTAGGGCTGCAACAACGAATCGATAAATTCGATGAAAATCGATTACTAAAAGCGTTGGCAACGAACTGCGTCATCGATTCGTTGTGTCGCACTCGCGCTGCTGCGAACCGGTTCCGCCCAAGGCCGGATTAACTGGGCAATTGCCCAGGGCCCACGAACTCTAAAGGGCCCAGGGCACGAGCAAAATACTGTATCTATAATTTCCCGCTTTATGAGGACTAAGGTGACCATACGTTCCGTTTTCCCCGGACGTGTCCACTTTTCACTCTCTGTCCGGCGCATCCGGACCGGACTGCGGGTTCTTGTATTGATGAAAATGTCCGGCTTTTCATCCAGGGGCAGGGATCGAATTATGGGGGAGCTGGATATCCTACACATCCAGGGGAACCGGAAAAAAGTTTTCTATATTATATCATTTTTGGACTCTTTTGAGCAGAGAGCGGCACAGCGCATTGTCGCGCAGCGATCCAGGCAGCTGCTTCCGGCGCACAGTCCATTCTCAAAGTGGCGCAACCAAAAAACTATAATTAGCACACGATCGTTCATGTCTATTTTATGTCTTATTTGTGCCTGCAGCGCTCTGCTACTGCGGAGCTCATCACCTGTGCTGCGGTGATGTCACCTCACGCAGCATCGAAAACGCGCTCTGCGCTTTGCATTCAGGAGATCCCTTTGATCTGCTCAGAAGTAACTGATGAGGTGAAAAAGTAAGAATCCAGGCAGCAGTTTTTCTGGAGAATTAAGAGGAGATGCAGGAAGATGAGAGACAGACAGGACAGGAAAATAGTTAAATAAAAACAAGAAAACAAAACAAAGTGTTGAAAAGTAAAATGTAGGTGGATTTATCTCCACTACATGTTTTTACCAGTAAAAAAAACAATAAGTTACACACACGTAATATTTATAAATTTGATACTATTCAGATCACCTTCAACACTCAGTCACACACCCAGGGCCGTTTCAAGACATTTTGGGGGCCAAGGCAAAATGCCCCCCCCCCCCCATAACTGGGCTCCCCAGAGGCCTCTGTGTAATCCATACCCTCTCCAGGAGTGTTAGTTATACAGTGTTTATAAAAGCCCCTCAGACATTACTGACATGTTCTAATATTATCAGATGAAAAACTAAATTATCAGACATGCTGTCTCATCTGCTGCTTTTCTAAACTTGCAAAAAGTAACAAAACCATGTGAAAGCCACTATTTGTGGATTCTCTGAAAGTTTCCATGGAGTGTGTGACAACTTATTTTTTCAGTCATTTTTGGAAATAGTGATCAATTTTGATTAATTCACAGCCTATGTTTAATTACATTTAAAAATTAGTTGTTTGACATCCCCCGTTATAATAAATGTCTACAGATGAGATCAAACAAAACAGATGAGAATTGCCCTTAAGCTGTTTAACTTGGACCAAGCATTTTAGGTCACAGATAGATGTAGCTTAGGGTCTCTGTCTATTCACCTTATAAGACAATTTAGGTGATGGCATGTTGTTTTTCTGCTATTGAACTGTTTTCCAATAATGTTGTGTTAAATAAAGTGAAGGAAGGAGAGAAACAACATTTCCCTAGCAGTTTTTAAAAATTTCCCCATGTAATCCGATTAATCGATTAATCGTGTCGAGACCCCATCCGATTAATCGATTATCCAAATAATCGTTTGTTGCAGCCCTAATATATATATAT